TAAGGATCTTAAGATATTCAAATAATGTTGCTTGGAACACGCATTATTGACTGATCATGCTCGCAAAGTTTCGATAGATCAAATATCGCCTCATTTTCAGCAGCGACAACACTGTTGGTGCTCAGCTGGCTTTACGCAGTGCAGTGAATGTTGTCGAATTGCTTGTGCACCTGCTTTCGACTATACGTCATGTCGATGAGGTACAGCACAGCATTGCTCGCGACATTATTTCCTTCTGCTACATCCACATATAATACTCAGCTAATGTCAGCGTCAGCGAAGCCAATACCATTTGCACGGTACCGCACGAAAGTGCTACCTTTCCTGACCGCTCTTCCGTCGCTGACAGTCACGCAAATGTGACATGACCTTAAACATCAGTCTCACTGATACAAGTCAAGCTATCCGTCTTTCACACTATCCTGCCATCAATCGAACGGTTGAGATTACAGTGACATCACGATTAGAAAGGGTAAAAATCTGCAGCATGTCATTTCACCTGTGGAGCTATCCACAATTTCAAAGGTGGGCAATGATCACCATAGTGCTCTACATGCTATCTGAAATTGAGTAGAAACGTCAGCAACATCTGCGCAATCGCAGGTTTTCGTACAAATGTCTTTGTCCAATATGCAGTACGTTCAGCCTATAGGAAAAACAACCGATAAGACGGCATCCAAGTGCAGCGGTTTTATGAACAATTTTATGACTTTAGAAACGATTGAGATGCACGCTTTTAAAGTAAGACAATAAAATACTCTGAACTGATCGAACTGACTGCGTGTTTTAGCCTGAAGTCGATTTCAGTTTTATAAACACACGATATGCCTGACCCTGAAGAGGTTGAAAAAGATCATTGGATCAAAGTGCATGAAAGATCAAAAGGTCAAGAATCGCAGAAAGTCAAAGTCTGGAACAAAATCGTCACCAGTCCTTCATCATGCAGTAGAGCGACAAAGACTAGAGATGATCATGTGCGTATGTGATGCGCGAGTGTATGCGCATTGCAACTCGTCTTTTGTCACTTTCTAATATCATCTATTATGAACCGCGATTTATCTCTGCCTTCGCAGAAACGATGCAGATTAAAACAGAAATTGTACTATTCCTAACAGCGCAAGAAAATGCAAAGTAAAAATCGTTCAATCCGTTACAAATGCAATTTTATCAATTAGTAAGTAGAAGTTGAAAAATAATGTTATATAATCCTTTGACTACTGATACCAAAGGCACATGACGGAAACTGTACAGCGTATAGTAAAGTTACCTACTTTTCAGTGACACCGCGGAAATGTCATTATATCAGGTTGTACCTCAGTAATGCACCGCAGGCCGCGGTTTCACCTCAAGGAGTTGGGCAGAACAAGAGCTTGTACTTTCCGCTATCCGCTGGTAAAATCCAGTATCACTAGTTAATGGATTATATTTTCAAGCGGAATCAGAAATCTGCCATTCTTGGTAGCCATCTCAGAACATAAGAGTATTATTAGCTTTCATTTTGTGCAGATCAAATGTGTGATTTTGTGCGGATAATGGTAATCATGTTGGTACTCGAACAAGCAGTTGTTCAAATCAACTCAGGGACGC